AGCAGGATAGTTGGGTGATCCTTTTAACTTAAATTTGTTATGTGTGAGACCTGCAGCACATCAGAATGCAAATCAAGACATTTGGTACCAGAAGCTCCACAAAGAAATAAAAATTAAAACTGTAGTACAAGTTAAGTTCTTCACGAAAGAGCTGTAAACAATCTCCCCTGAACTAGAAAGGGGAAAAAAATTACTGTTGTCATGAATAGTGACAAGGTGTCATTTAACAAGACAGCAAAATCTACATTCCAGAAACTGTGAAATCAGTTGGGTCTGACTCTGCACTCAGTCCTGTGCATCTTCTTCTTTTTCTTTTTAAACATCCTTAAGGGAATCAAAGTACAACATCCATCCCATGACCCGCTGACTCACCGTTTCTGCGCCAAGTGTCTGCAGGCCTGTGTAGGTCCTGTCCAACTGGGTAAAACAATACAATATATTTATATTAACCAAGGCAAAGCAATATATTAGCTAGAATTTACAATAAAATTTGTTTGCAAGAAGTTGAAACTATGTAAGTCGACCAGCAGTGCACCCACTTCTTTGAAGGCACAGGGTTAGAAATCTGTGTGCTCACTACTCTCTTCTGCAAAAAAAGCCAACCACAACCCAAAGCCCACACTAAAGTAGAAATGAGCAAGAAAGTTAAAGGAAATTAGATTGTCAGGGAAATATTATTTCAGTCTAAGAGCAAGCACAGACACTGTGGTCACTGAAACCCCTGCAACCAGAGATGCAACTGGTATGACAGATACTGTGACCATTCTGAGACCCATGACAAGAACTGTAGCTATTCAGCTTTGAGGAGTGTCCTTTTTTACTCCTGATGTCAATATAAGTACAATAAAGAGGAAAAAAACCCCAGATATTTAAACTGATCAGCACAAAGGCTATGTGTAAACTATAACTTTTAATTAAATAACTGTTCACACTGAATATCAGCTGATAAAGAGGCAGACAATCCCAGAGGCATCTATTAAGATATTTATAGAGAGAAGCTGGGTTTGACAGGCTCATGATGCCCTGGAGCTCAGGGGCAGACAAGCTGCCAGCCCCAGAGGAGGGCTCAGCTCACTCCTATCACCTCACAGCAGCCACAGGCTCATTGTGTGAGCAGCAAAGATCTGCTGATTTGAGTTCTTGTGTGCCAGAAAACTGTCTCAGTTTTCTGCTCTAGGCTGGGCTTCCTTTGCTGCACAATGTCTATCATACAATTACCAATTTCTCCTCAAGTTATACCTCTCCAAATATATTTTATACATCATCTACAATAATGTCCCTAAGTTCCAGGGGAACATTTCCAGCCCTGTCTACTGTCTGTACTTGGGGCTGCAATGAGGTATCTACATGAACATGAAATTCATTAATGCAGACAGAGTTTAAATAAAACTAATCATGCTGCTCAAAGAAACAGGGAATAACCAGCCCAGGACTTAATTCCCCTAACGCTAGGGACTACTAATTAAAAGGAACACAAGAGCAACAGCCTAGTTTTCCAGGACTGCTGCATACTATAAATCCTATTGAGCGCCACAGGACAGGTGAATGAGGTGAAAAGGAAGGCTCTCTTTAAAACCAAGAAGGAAAAAACAGGGAATCTCGGCCCCTCCCTGCCCACTCTAACAACAGAGATAATCTCTAGCTGATACCTGCAAGTGCTGAAGAACAGAACACATACACCAATCACTTTACCAACAGAAAGATAGCCCTGCAGCACCCTGTTGAGTTAAAGCCAAAGAGAGCATGATAAAAATTTCAAACAGGTAAACGCTTTGCTGCTCTGAGCAGAACCAGTTCCAGCTTCTACAAGGCTGGGCTCCCTGGCTACTGCATCGACTCCAATATGGCCAAGGTAAAAGGCTTTTCCTGCATCTTTTTTGATTCTCCAGCTCAGTTATTCATGTGCAAATAACCAGGAAGACATGCACACAACAGAAAGGCAGAAGCACAGACACAAGAGGAACGTCTCCTAAGATTAGGCAGGAGAACTCATTTAATTGCCTTTCTCTCAAATATTTTGTTCAAATACCTTCAAATTGTGTATGATATCAATCCTCTTGTTCTGGCTATCCTTGAAGTGTATCTGGACTCTCACGGGAAATTCTCCCCAGCCTCTCCTGGTCAGGTGAAACGGAGGTTCTCTGGAAACAAATGGTGATTCATATTTTGGATGCAGAAGTGGTACAGCATTCACCTACCTCTTTTTCAGAAAGCCAAAGACTGCTTTTCTAGCTGTCAACGAAATCTATCTTCAGGCCTGCTATTCCCCACAGAGAGAATGCAATCACAGAAATGAGAATTTTATGGCTTTGGATAGCTGAAAACACGCTTTTATTTTGCACAAGGGGACAGGGAAGAAAATGGTAAAACATTGCTGGATGAGAGAACATGGGAAACGAGACTTTTAAAGGAAAAAAAAAAAAAAGGCTGTGTAATGTCAAATGCTTGTCTGAAAAAACCCCTTCAAGTCAGCTCCTAGGGCACAGCTGCAAGGTGAGTTTTCAATGCAGCATTTTGCAATCATTTTCTGCTATTCCCTACCTAGTAGCAAGAAGGCACATGCTTCAAGTAACTCCAAGACAAGGAAAAGCTAACCACTGCCATTCTCCAAGGTGAAAAAGAAGCTGTATTTATTTCTAACATTTACCATTACTTTGTATTTCAGCTTGTTGTTACTGTAAATCCCAAATGTAGTTTTGCAATGAAAAAAACCACAAGAGGTTTAAAGGCTATTTTTAGTCCAGAACATTAACGTTCACTAAGATGACTGGGACTGTGTGACATCAATTAACCAGATGGCATTAAAACTGGAGACAAACAGCACCGATATCAGATACTGGAAACTGAGAAAGGCACAGAAAGACAGCAGTTAAGTGTAATTTAGTATGTTATGCAAGAAATACAAAGGAGTTTACTTTCATCCTGCTCAAGGTTACCTTCTCAGAAACATTACTGAGCCACACCAACACTTATCTCAGGTAAGTCTTTCTGGAGTTACCTTTCAGTAGTTTCATTTTGCCTGAATTATGTTGCCATTCTGTACCTAGGCAGTCTCCCCACCTCCTCCAGGAGGCAGCTGAATGTCTCATGGAGAATAATTTATTTGGGAAGACACAAAGTAGTTTGAAGGCATCCTCCCACTGTCTTGTCCAAAAAAAGTAAGAATGAAAGACTGACAGGGCATTTCCCCGCAGCAGTCAACAGAGAACTGACCCTTCTCATCTCATTAGGGTCACAGCTTCAAATACACACTTGGGAGAGGACAGAGAAGCTGCCCTGTTTCTGTAGCACCAGCACCATTACACTAATGGGAAATTACTTGAAGCATGAAACCAATGCCACAGTGGAGAAATATTTGGGAGAGGGATACAATTTCTTGCTCAAATGCACATGTATCATTAAAACTATGAGCAAAGCAGCTTTCTGAGACTCCTGTTTCTTTTCCACACTGGAATGGACAGGAGGTAGAAAACATATCTTTTAAGCAACAGAAGTCTAATCTGTAAGCAGACAGTGTAACACACACAGGAGATGCACAGATTCACATGAATGACATGAAATACAACAACAGAGTGCTTTTTCTCAGTAGGAAATTAAAAAAAAAACAACAAAACAAACAAAACAACTGTTTGGCACATTTGCTACATAAAAACTAATTTATTTTTACTATTATTCTGAAGTAAGTCAAGCCAAGCCAGAGGTTAAAGAGAGATAAGGAATACTAAACCAGGAAAAGAAGTTGCCAGCTTCCTAAGAAACTTGACACTGTAAGCCTGGCAAGCACAAAGACTAAAATAGTGACTAGGATAATTCCTTATTACCTCACTTCTACCAAGTCATTAGGTTTGTAACTGGGATGGAGAAAGAACCAAACTTTCTTGACAAAATGATTTATGCTGGGTTCTCTCCGAGAGCCTCGGACATACACCATCCACTTATGGGTTGACTGATCATTTTCTTCTCTCTTGTCAGGGGGAATGTACCTGGCAAAAAATTTAAAACAAACACAAGATAAAAATATCAAATAGATAAATACCACAAAAAGTATATATAAAAATAAACCAACAACTACTACAACACCTGTTCCTCCCACAAAAACACTCGTGCACACACTCGAGGAGGGCAGCCTTGGGTACAGTGATTATTCAAGGGCAGTATCTCATGTTGTGACAGCCTAGCAATTTTATTTGTCTCCTAATTTTAACCTCCTATTCCATTTAATCCTGAAATAAAGAACCATCCCGCAGGCTCCAGATACTAACTTGGAGACGTTGCCAACCACAATTGTTTTCTTCACATAAAGCCGTGAAGTTTCGTCATTTGACAGTCCGGCATTTCGTTGTCCTGGTTTTTGAGAGCTTGAAACACCCGAACTGTCCTGAGGGTAGGGCAAGAAAAAAAAAAAGGCAAACAAAAAACCAAACATTCCTCTTAAAGATCATTTTGTTTGGCGCTAGAAAAGGTGGTGTTAAAAAAAGTAAATCTGCATAGTTAAATGAGAGACCAACAATGAATCATCCCTAAAAATACTTAAATTGCTACCTAGGCACATTTAAGCAACTCAGGCATGCAACAATGATATACTACCTAGCCAAGTGTACACTACATGGCTTAACTGAGTGTACATTACGTGACATACCACGGATCTGAGCCATGATTTCAGCTTGGGTTTCAAAAGCACTGCCACTGCACTATCTGAAAAAAATGAAGCACTGCTAGAGTGGCATCATGTTGGTCACTAATCAGAAACAAAGTTAAATCTCCCATGAGTGGCTCCTGAAAATCTAAATCTTTCTCATTTCCAGCCTCTGTTGCTTTGAGGGACTCCAGCATTGGTTCATGGTGAAGAATCGAGGCTGGGCTTGAGAAAAGAATTCAGCTCCAACTCAACAGGAACAGCAGTCAGCCACACCACATCACTGACATCTAGATAAGCCTACAAATCTATTGCAATACTCGGGCATAATAAATCCAGCCTAAGCAACCTCATAACACAAACTCAGCTATTAATCAGTGGGCAAGACTCCCTGCTAAAACAATGTGCCAATGCAGGATGCACTGTCGTTTGCCTGGAATGAGAGGCTTTTCTACGACTCTGCTGGATAAAACGGCTGTCCAGAGAATAAGGGACTGCCATCCTCTCATGAACAACAGAGTTGGTGCTGCAGCTTCCTGGGGCGTACTCCACCAAGCTGTGAAACACCTCTTTCCCCTGTGCTAACAGGAACCAGCTATCACGGTCGCCTGGCTAGCCTCTCTATTGGGCAAGACTGAGTTAAAAGGAGTCACCCAAGTTACGTACACTTCAGTTAGCCTTACAGCAAAGCCAGGCTGAGAGAGTAGGAGTAAGTGGTTGGAGAGGTGAGAAACAGATCTTCAGCGAGGCAGGTGAAAACATGAAGAGCTCCTGGTGCCAGCACTGAGTCCAGACAGAGCACACACCTCCAACAACTTGACTACCACTTGAATTTTACTTTACCCGGCCCGTATTTCTGCTCTGTCTCTGGTCCAGGCTGTTTGTCAGCTGCTCGTCTGCGTCCAAGTTGCCATTGTCTTTGTCCAGGAGAAAGTCATTGTGTTGAGAGAGCGAGTCACTCTCGGAGTGGTTGGCAGATGGAGTGTCTGAGCCCTGGTTAGCTGGAGATGAGGATCTAGAGGGCGATTCCAAGAATTTCTTGATTGAAGGGTGATTAAGAATTGTGGCATCACATGACCTGGTCCCCTGCAACAAAGAGGTCAGGCAGACCCAGTCACTATTTCTCTGCAAGCCCAGATAAAAACAAAGCTGTGCCAGAAGAGAAAAAGTCAATGTATGAAGAAAGAACAAATATTTAACCAGCTGCCCTGCAGGAAAAACATACGCCACAGAAGATATAAGCTTAAAACAGTTCTAAAGAAACAGCACCCCAAATTGAATCTATTCCTTTAGACCTTTTGATCTCAGAAACCCACTTGGTTTTGGAAAGGACTACAGCACACTCAAACACCTATAATGTCCCTTTGAAAATAACGTCTTCCCTTTCTGTATGGACACCTATGGTCTTTTACCACACACAGAAAGGCCACAGCTGCCCGACTCCTGCAGGCAAGCAGGGTATGTAAATACATCAGGCTCTTCAGTTTTGATACCAACTGGCAGTCTTGTCAATGCCTATGAGGCAAGCTACACATATTAGCATCCTGTCTGCTCCCAGAGCTTATCGGAGGATAAAGAATAATGTGCTTAGGCATGCTTGCAAACTTTCCTCAAAATGGACATTTTGGAGCTAATCTTAGATCTGCCTAAACCTGCAAGGGGGAGGATGGGGTGGGGGAGCATTTAAACATCTTCTTCTCCCCGCCCCCATTACTATGACAAAGGCCCTTTTTCTTCCTCCTGTGTTTGCTTTTAACCTCAGAAGTAGCAAGGAAAACACTCATCACTCAAAGCAAGTGTCCCTCAGCCACTTCTCCTCCCAGCCACCAGTCCTCCCTGTTGCCTTGGTCTGATGATGAATCAAGTCAGCAGAAACACCCCTCTGCTAACAGCAAAGCACTGACAGATAAGCTCACTCCAGCTCCTGAAGCCACAGACTCACAGTAGAGTTGCATTGACAGCTTTTCTTGCAGGCAGTATGAGCTGAAAGAGTCTTTCTTCTTCCCTGCCTGAACCACCCAGATCTCTCAGGCTGGCACATTCACAGGGAGGGGGCAGGTCACAAAGAAAATCTGTGATTTGAAATTTGGTTTTGTTTGTTTGTTTGTTGTTGGTTTGGGGTTTTTTTAAATCCTTTACAGGGTTATTTTTAATCCATATCAATTTCCTGATCCAAAAGTTTGCCAACATGACGAAGGGGCTGGCATGGTGACAGACACTGGCACCACTATGGAGCAGTAGAACTGCCCTTGAGAGGTGGTAGCAGGAGTGGAGTTAAACACTGTCTCACCTTGGACTTTAAAGGTTCATTTGAGAATTTTCTTTCCAATTTTCTACTAGGTACATGAGCGAAGCACTTACTAACTCTCAGTTACCTACTTAAGAGAATTATATCCACATATCCAACAGCGGAGGGACACACACACAATACGACCAAAAAAACCCTTTTTTTACCTCTAGTCAAGTAAAATGACCAGCACCTCATCCACTAATTTGTGGGAAAACATAATAAACTGTAATCATATGGAATCATAAGCCTCAAAACCCAGCAGCGCTTGGTTGAAGAACTGTTTATATATATGAGAGCAGGTTAGGAATTTGCAAATCATCTTTCTAGAAGTTCAGAATTAAACTACAAAGACTCCCGTTCTATCAGAAGCAGAAACAAAACTATCATTCACAGTCGAGTCAAACATACATTAAACACACATTAAAAACAGACAATAAAGAAAATTGAAACCAGTAACAATTTCAAAATTGCCTGCATGCACATCAGGACTTTTAGAAAAAATTAAAAATGCAATTGAAAACACAGCTACACTAGCCATAAGCTCATAAAAACCACATGAAAACTAAACAAAGCGAGGGTGCACCGGTAAGTTTTGTGAATACTCTGAAACAATTACAAAAGTTGTTATTTCTGGCAAGCATGAAAATCAGCAAGCAAAAAACAAACACCCTGCATGACAGAACAAGTAAAGAACAGGGGATGGTTGGATAAAAACACTTTCAAAGATCAGAATCTAGCTCACATTCTTCAGCCGCCTACACAAAAATCAAGGGGGGAAGAGGGATCTCCAAGCCTCCCAATACTACCATAATATTTTTCAACTTCAGTTCTCAACTCCAGCTCAGTGAGGGAAAAAACAAGCTGGGTGTTTTTGTTTTACCCCACTCCAAGTCTTCTGGAAACCACAACAGGAAAACCAGAAGCAGCAGTGCGAGCCAATGCTTGGAAGACAAATTCTTGTGGGACTAGAGTAAAATCCAGGTTTGCAGCACCCATCTACAGCTTCCAAAAATCAGCTCAGATCTTTACTGGAAATTAGATCAACTCCCTGAACTGAAAAGATGGTGTGGAAATACAATGGAAGATTGGGGAGGAGGATTGTAAATGCGCTCAAGCAACTTGCAGCTGGGGTGTCAAAAAACACATACGTCACACTACTGATCACTGCTTAGTCTTAGGTGCTTGACAAGCAGAATACCTGCCTTTAGATAACACAGGCCTGGGATACACTCAGGGGCACACTGAACATGCCTGGGATTCCTGCCCTGCTGTGAGAAAGATCAAAGCACAATGGAAAACTACTGCCTGCTAAAAATCCCTGATATACACAGGCAAAAGCAGCAGGTTTGGAATCTCTCTCGCTCACTCTCACTCTAGCAAGGACCAAGCTCCGCGGTGCCTGTGTTCCCACTTACGTGCCTGTGCCCTGGGTGCTGCTGCGGAGATCCCCGGGTTCGTGAGGTAAAGAGAATAAATTTGCTTTTTGCATTTTATCCATGGTTTTGGTGGTTGTTCCTGTGTCCTGCTTGTGTTGGCTCACACGGATGGCAACTAAATACCTGCACTGGTAGTGAACTACATGTCGGTTGGGAGCCTGCATGAGTGATGAACATTGTTGACATTACCAGCCCAAGCCTGTTAAGGAGAGAGTGCTCAGAACTGGGGTTTAAACTAATAAGGTTTGGGGTTTTCTTAATCTCCTTGTGAATATTTAACCTCTCTGTGATATCTCCTGGCTTTACCTCCTGCTTTACTGCTGCCATCAGTCTGTTCACCAAACCATTAACAGACTGGCTGCCAGGGTAAAGGGAAGATGACTTCATAGCACTGCCTGAGCCTCAAAAGAATCTTTATTTCTTCTCCCTGAGAAGTTCCAAAACCCATCTGCTTCCACTCTGCGAAATGGAAAAACGTGTTCCCCACTTTTCAGAGCTTTGCAAGGACAAATTGTACAGTATGTGAGAAGCACAGTGCTCTCATGCAAGAACTGATTAAAAAAGAAAAAAAAAGCAGACTATTTCAGAAAGTAGAACCAAGGGCCGCTGAACTTCTCAACTGCTCCTTGAAGACTCCTCTTTGTGAGGGCCTTAGGACCAGCTGGTGACACACAGGCCTCCTCTCCCACTGCCACCCCATTTGCAGGTTGTATTGCACTATTTCAGAAAATCACATCTCAAAACCAAGCACCAGCTGAGTAGTCAGCAAACTACACATCTTCCTTCACAAATATTCCCTAAAGTCTTATTTTTCCAAAAATAATTTTTACCTCTCCAGCTTTAAGGAGACCAGCAGATGCATAATAGTTAGCCACAATACAGGCACGCAGCTTATCCATCATCCTTCTTGCTTCAATCAGGCGCTACAAAAAGAAGAGGTAACATATAGTAATGGATAACCACTGCAGCAATCCCCGCCCCCCCAACCCCCAGTACACCAGTATCTTATCTATTTTTAAGAATAAAACCTTTATACCTGATCTATAACTTCAATTTCATGTTCTTTACTCTTCATTTCAACGGCAAACTGTTCTTTTATAATTGTCTCAATCTTCTGCACAGCAACATCTCGAGCTGTACAAGGCCACACATGCAAAATAAAGAAGGAAGTATTTATATTTCTATTTTTGAGGCTCTATTTGAAAACAAAGATCAGAAATCATTATGGTGTGAGAGGTGAAGGGATAAGAAGTACAGCACACACACAGAAAAAAAAGGAAGGATAATTTTTCTGCAAAATAATTTGTCTTAACAAAAACCACATGTATCTTTAAAAGCTGGCTTATATGGAGAGCTATTTTTTCCTTTTTAGGTCTGAGATGAGAAATAACAGAAGATGGGAAGAACAGGACCAGTCTGTTTACTTCTGTCTCAGAAAAGCTGTAGACAGTAGAAGGAAAACCCAAATGTGCTATGGCCAAGCGCAGATTGCGCAGGAGTACGCTGGAACACAATGTACAGTTTTCTGCTCGCTTTGGCCTGACTGATATCCAGGAAATTTACACCACATCATGCAGCAATAAGGCAAACTAATACTTTATATGTTGAGCACTGGCACAAAGCGCAGCCTGCTCTGGAGTGCCTACAAGCTTTTTATTACCCACAAAGGAAACTAAATTATCAAAAGCCAGTTTACCTCTTACAAAATTCTCTTCCAACACAGCAGTCAAAAAATTTTAGCCTTGCAGCAGGAGTTTATTGACCTCAGTGGGAAGCATGTAGTTTAGTATTTCAAACTATGCAAATACCTTACAGCAAATTATCGGCTAAGAATTAAATTGGCATCTTACTGTGTTTTTCTAGAACGTGTATAAACACAGGAAGAACAATTCTTTTTTGCTATAAACCTACCGCAGACTTTATTGCCCTTCCTTTAAGTCACCTCCATTATATCAAGCAGATTCAAACAACATCTGTTTTTATCAAGTTCTAAGCAAGAATTTGGAAAAGCAGAACTTGCATCTCTAGAAGAAAGGCTGGAAAAGGTCCTCCAGCCTGCATCAGAAATACAGTGACCCCACTGCAAAGCAGTTCAGAGAAACAGCCTGGGTTCCTCTGAAAAATATCTCACATAGTTTCTACATGGAATAGGAGGCAACAGCACCCAAGACTTTTGTTTTGAGCTTCAGAGGAAGCGTGTGTTTTACTACAGGGTACATATCTGTTTAAAGAGGTTTATAGAAAGAGTAAAGAAATCAAAAGCAAATCAAAACTTTGCTGGTATGTTCCAGCTAGCATACGTAATTTTACTGTCTGATCAGGTACCTACAACAGGATTAAGGCAACTGATGCTTCTATACGCAACAGGAGTATCCTAAAAATTTTTATTTACTTCCAGATACCCACACACACACATATATATATATGTTTTCTTTTCCTAGGATCAGAAATAGTTCAAGCCTACATTAAAACAGAATTATGCTTGAATCTGTACGAGTAATGCAAAATTAAAAACCAGAGGGATATAATTTGCCTCCAGTCATGAACACCATGCCTAAGAAATTCACGTGTAAGGCTACACTTAAAATAAACCTAAACAGATTAAGGTATGAGATGTACAGTTCAGACGGGGATAACTGTATCTCTTCCCAAGACTGATGCCATGCAACACCAGCATTATGACAATTAAAGCACTTTAGGATTTGTGGTTATACTACAGAGGCTTTTAAGAACACTTTATTTTCATATTTTTCCCAGCTTAGCATCAACCACAGACCCTAATTAAGATCATGATAGCGAAACTTGTATACTGAAGGAATTCTTGTATTGAAAGTTGGAGATCTTCCTCAAGAAGAAGAAAGAAGGCAACCCGGAGAAATCACTGGAACAGAAAGTTGACTTTGGCAAGAACAGTTCTCCAAGCCCTTGACACTTTGCCTGCTAATTATTAAGACCTTCTAAAAAGTTGATTCAGGAGCGGATTAAAACCCTGTCTGCAGTCCCAAGGACACTCCACCACAGAAGGTGGTGACTTCTGGCAGCCAGGCAGGGCAGGCAGCTGCTGGGGGTGCTGATGCTCTTCTGCGATGGCCAGCTCCAGCACAGCTCCACTGTCAGGGCCACAAACAGACCTAGCAGACAGGACCTGCCCAATAACACATTCAACCCAGAGTTCAGCCTCCTCAGACTCATCCTGCTGTACACTGTCCTCCAAAACATCACCCACAAAGCCATCAGCTGTCCCTCTCCAACTGGCAGCTCCAGCATCCTGTGCTGTTCCTGGATCTTCTTCAGATCCCACAGCCAGCTTTGGTTTTCTCACCTCCCTGTTCATCAGCTGCTCTTATCACCATGCTCTCACAAGCTGGGCTATGCCAAAAATCATGAGCCTACTCCCTGTCCCAGGGGCAAGAAGCTCTAATCTCATTTGTCCAGAGGCCACTGCAACCTGCCCCAGGCACCCCACCAACAGGCTGGTTCCCAAAGCAGCGTATCTGAGCATGACAAATGCAAACCTACTCATCCAGCTACTCTCTCCACTACACTTCTTTATCCACCTTTCCTTCAGTCAAATAGTTGCTCTTCCTCCTGCCCTGCATCTCTCAAAGCCACTTCCTTCTCCCTAACTTACTCCTTCTACACCGCTCTATTTCACTTTATCTGCCTACTCTTGCAAATATTTGTCACCTCCCAAGAGCCAGTCTACCTACCGCAGGGTTGTGTATTTCTTTTACCCCCACTACAGGGTCATGGAATTCTCCTTCAACCCCCCGTGCTGTACTGTCACCTGTACTCCCCAAAACAGAAACAAACTTCCAATCTTTCAACTGCAAAAGAGATGCACAGGTTGGAGCTCATCTTGGCATGGGTAACTGCTAGGAAGATGCACTGGCAAATACTTCAGCAAGCAACAGGAACCAAAGTACACGGCTGGGGCCCTGGACAGCTCATGCTCCAATTGCTATCGTGCAGCAAACTCCACATCCTCACACCTTATGGTTCAGCGGGCAGGTAGGAATGCTCCCGGCACGACGATCACGCCTTTGGCGTTACAGAGGTATCACTAGCTCCCTTGCTCCGCTTCTGCCCTCAGCTCCCACCCCAGCCCTTGCCGACAGCAGACACATCCACAGCGTGTCTAACCCACCCGGGGGATCCCGTCGGTCAGACAGCTCCTACCTGACTGTTCGGCTGCTTTGTGACGCTTGCTGGGATGCGTGACGGTGATCTCCTCATAGTCAGGGTCCTTCTCCGCGATCACTCTCTTGATCCCAGACATGTTCCCTCCACTGCTCCACTGAGAGGGAAGATCAATGCACTCACGTCA